GAGGTAGAAGGTATTCTTTATATAAGAGACAAAGTTAAAGGAAGTTATGTTTCTGAATGTTCTTCAGATGATAACAAGCATTCTGGAAATTATGAAAGGTGGTCCAAAGGTAATTCGAAAGGATGTTTTAGGTGTGAAAAGTCGGAACATATCAAACGTGATTGTCGAGTGAAGGTGGAATGTAGTCGATGTGGGAAACCATGCCATATTAAACAAAATTGTTGAGTGAAACTTAAASAAGCATAAGCAAATGTTTTATATGAAATTAACAAGCCTGAACAACTCAATTGGGAATATTGTTTATCAATTGAAGTTATTGATCAACTCATTAATTGTTGTACTCATGCTTCTTTTTATTATAGTGAGGATTGATCTGATGGTTCTGGTTGTTTTTATCATACTACTGAAGATGTACCTCTTCTTTACGATGTTTGTTGAAGAAGAGCCAATGCAATGGCTGATAATTTCTTACATCGTGATGTGGAAGAAGGACACGTCAATATTGAAGATTGTGAGTTGGGCAGTGTTCCTTGTAAAGATGTTTGTCATGGTCCAAGTCCGAAGAAGGATTTTGTTTCAGTCTCTCAGGCTGCTGATGTTGAGAGTTTTTCTAGAAACAAGTTGAATTGTGGTATAAATTCTTCTCCTTCTTGTGCTAAAGATAGTACAAGCTTAAGTTGTTTAAATAATCCAAATGTTAGTCTTATAGCTAGACTTATTGCTGGGTCAACATTTGGTTTTTTGGTTGGATTATTATTTTTCTGCAAGGGTAACTATAAAGGCTACACATCCGGAGTCTTTGTAGATGTTGTAGGTGAAGTTGATCGAAGAGTTTCTTTTGGTCAAGATTTGCGTGGAGCGAAAGCGTTGAGGGACATGCTTTCCAACATGAGAATTTGAGTACTGTTGTCCACCGTTCTCAAGAACTTAAGCTTGAGGACCTTACTTTGGATTGACCTACTCAAATGTGTATGTTGGACACAACTCGAGGTTTAGAGTATTGTTTTGAAATTTGCAATCCAATGATTACTCGTCAAGGTATTGTGGTTGTTAATGTGTTGCTTGATGAAGATTTTGGAGCCATCGGGAAGGACGTATATTTTTTGTTATGACATAATGTGTTTGGACCTTGTTACATGTTAAAATTGACTTCTTGTGCTTGGAAGAAGAAAATGATGTTCTACTTCTCGACCATGTCAAGAAACCGAAAAGAGAGAAGCAACTGAGTGTTGTCGTGGTTGTTTGTAATGACTACTCCTATGGAGGAAGATTGAAGTAATCAGAAGTGCAGAATGTTGTTGCCTTTATGTTTAGAGTATTAAGAATTAGTGCAAACATGAAGTTAGTTTAATAGTTTAATTCCTAGTATTTCCATATTTTTAGGAGTTATGTTTAGTGGGTAATTTAATGGTCGATAATTAACYAAGTAGTAGTGAGTGGATATGTAACTTAAGGAGTAGTTTTTTGGTTAGTGACTTAGTGGCCTAATGGGGTTAGTGGAAGACAAGTTTAAGGTTAGTGGCCTAAGTAGTGGGTTAGTGGTCGGTTATTTACTTTTCCTATAAATACTATGTAMCAATCTCAATTCAATGAATAGAAGTTTTTCCTTCGTACAATTTCTCTGTTGTTTTCACACATGCTATTCTCCTTGTTTTCGTTCAAAATATTAATGGGTGTTTGATTCAAGAGTACTTTTTAAACATTTATGAAAGGCAAGGGTAGTATTGAAATTTGGAGAGGATATATAAGTATTTCTGAAACAGAGTAGATAGGTTGTCAAACTATCCCAAGAGTTCCAACTGCCAAAATGGGAGCTTCACCAAACTTTTTCTATCACCATTTAAAAATTTAACTTGTATGTAGTTTTTCTATCTTCTTCTACTTCTTTTTCATTTATTTTTTTTTCGGGGGATAAAGCACTAAATTATCAATTTTTTAGCTAATGTCCTTGATCTATGTTAAGAGTTTTAATTCTACTTAAAAGTTTTAAACATTCAAGATTACCCAATTTCTGTAATTTGTTTTAAAGATAACTCTTTGTTAGCAAGTTCCATTAAAATATTTAATGTTGTTAAAAGATTAAACACATAATTAAGATTTTTAAATTATAATAAGCAAAATCTATACCAAATATATATATACACACACACATACATACATGCATTAGCAACTACATTAGGAATATTTGTATTATTCAACCTTTTCCCAAACCATGTTGGAAATGTATACTATTTAAACGTAGTAAATACATCCCAATAAGCATTCTCAAACACAGTATTAATATCACTAAAAAATAAATTTAAATGTTTACCTTTGCAATAAAGCTTTTGGAACCAACAATAACCGATCCAACCGGTGCACCCAAACCTTTTGATAGGCATACCTGAGTCAAGTGTCAAGGCAAATATAATGAAAGTATTTTCTCGATACATCAAAGTTGTAATGAAGAAYTGTTAGTCGAGACCAGATAAAAGATAGGGAAATATTCACATAATAAAGTAGGTAAACATACTGATACTGAGTCAGCAGCTTGTACTAATCGATCCACGGAAACGCCAAGTGCCTGAGAATAATTTTTGTTAACATATGAAAATCTCTCTTATAAGATGATTGCTTTTTGTGTGAAGAAAATAATGGTCCAAAAGCCATATGTCAATAAGTTTAAAAGAGGAAGAAAAAATGTTCTTAGGTTTCGAAATTTTGCAAATATGATAGAATTTTAACTTTCTAGACTGTTTGATAAAATTGGTTGTTTATTGAACTGTCACTCTGTGTAACAAAATTAAAAGGAAAAAAAAAAGCAAAATACTTGATTTCTTATCAACGAAACCAATATTGTTGTCACAACCACTATATATTTGATAACTTAGGGAGAGAAATGAAAAAACAAATTTTTTTTTTAACAATAATGAGTTCAATTTTTCAATGGTAGTGGAGACAATATTTGATCCTCACCGTAGTTTTCTTTTCCATATTCAAAGTGAAAACATACAAAACACTATGTCGTGTCATATTACGAAAAGTTGGCAACCGTTACTTTTAACTTCCACGACAATCCCAAACTAAACCTAGCATGACTACAAACGGTGGGAGAAATAAAAATATGACATATTGGTTGTCAAAAAATGGTGAACTTGAATAGATGAACGGGAAGAATGGGAGAGAGAAAATAAAGTCTGAGTGGAGAGATGAAAAAAATCTATTAGTGAATAGACTAGAAAATATATTTAGCTTCAAAGAAAAAAAATGAAAACTTAATAGATTAGGGAATAAAAAGGGTTAGTTCCTCTTGTTGGGTAAATCTAAACCTAACTTAACTAATTAATGCATATATATACTACATTCAAAAGATAGGAGGTACGGATCCTTTGTTTAACTCGTAAAAAAAATTGCCCCCCTTTATTAGGCAGTACTTGTTGAGATACTCRTAAATAAATGAATGAAGTTTACCCAACTCATCAGCTTAAGTTTTTGTGTTGAGTAATAGTTTATTCATGCTTAATATGGTATCAGAATGCGACGTCCTGAATTCAAACCCTTGCATTATTGTTGGTTGAATGGTAGTTTATTCATCGTTAACAGTACTCACAATTGAGGCATTGAAAATGCGAGCACCATCAATGTGAAGTTTCAGACCATGCTTCTTAGCTAACTCTCCAACTTCATCAGTATATTCTACCGAAAGACATTTTCCTCCAGAACTGCATTTCATCATAGTTTCTTCATCAACTGTATAATTTAAAAGAAAAGCAACTTTTCTATCAAGTAAATTGCTGCTAATATGTTAATTCCATCCGTCCAACACTTATATCATATAACTATTTAAGTAATACATGTCAAATTGATTTGAAGCAGGTTTAAGCATTCGAGGGTGGAAGCATTAAAATACAAACACTAGATAGACAATCTTGCACATTAAAAAACCTATTAGAAACATTTTTCAAAGAGACTTATTAAACACACCTCTAAAAGTCAACTTGATGATCAACTTTTTAATGATAATTATTTAACAAAAATCTTAAACTATTTGTTGACTTAAGAACTATACTACTACATCTTGGCTCCAAATGTAGACATCTACTTATCGAGTAACTAAACAAACACCATGCATATGTCAGGTTTTGTTAAATAATTATGAAAAATTAACGGAATGAGTAAAATAGCTTTTCTTAACGTAAACTTCTAAGAGTGAAAATAAAATATTTGAAAAGAACCCAAACAAAGTAAACATAAAGTCGATAAATATTACACGATACTTACTTTGCATGTGAATTCTCTAAACAAACGAGCCTTGTCGTTGGGAAGAAGAGCTCGCCCTTTGGATTTCTAATGGCAGCTTCAATCAAATCGATGTCCATTGTTCCATCAGCATTATTCTTGACCGTTCTTGGATGAACTCCTCCAATGGTGGCAATGCCTCCATTTTCCAATATATGGATATGGGAATTGTGTCCTAAAATGACTTCACTTCCTCTAATCTCACAATGAACAAGAACACTGATGAGATTTCCCATGGTGCCTGATGGAACAAACAAAGCTGCTTCTTTCCCAGTCATCTTTGCCATCTCTTCTTCCAACTGCAGGGCTATGGGGTCATAGCCTAAGACATCATCGTCGACCTCGGCCATTGCCATTGCAGCTCGCATTGCTTCGGTCGGTTTCGTCACAGTGTCGGACCGCAGATCCACCTTTCTACTCACCATCTTCACCAAACCCTAGCTTAGAGATCCTTTGTAGAAAGAGAAAAATTAATCACTAAAGAGGTCACTTGGTWATTCCAATACCATAGGCTTTGTTTTTCTTCCATATAAAATACGAAAAAAGAAAGAAGAAATAATAAACAAGGAACAATAAGGATTGTCAAATAAACTTTAGTAGTGATTTGGTAATGTTTATGTTTCTSCTTTTTAGTCTTATATTTTATAGAAATATAAGGACCTATTTGGTAAATAATTTAGATATATTGTTTCTTGTTCKTRGATTCACTAAATCAAATGGATTGAATGAATATCGGTTGGACAGAATTGTTTATGAAAAYTGATTTTGGATTCTGTAATTTAAATAGTGAAAATTATGGAGACAAATTTATCATGTTTCCAATGTTTTCAGATTTAGAATCCAAAACTTTAAAATGCATAATTATATTTAAAAAGATAAAAACTATGAAAATACACTATTTCATGTTAAAATTTATTTTATTTTTGTTAAATTCTTTTAGTACATATTTTTGTTAAATTAAAACATGTAAAACATAATATATTATAAATTATATGATATTGTAAAATACTGGTCGTAACAAAGACTTATAACATTTATGTTACTAAATTAAGTAATAATATTTTAGATTAAACTAAATATTTAGCAGGTAAACAATGACTTACAAATATACTACAAAACAAAATCCATGATTATTTTTTTTTTAAATTGATATATTCAATTTTCATATCTACTCCCAAACATATATTTGAAAATATGGAACACAACTCTATTTTCATTAAATCTTTTGTCTTTCAGATTTAAAAATCACAAACCAAACAGCACCCCAAATGTTTGGTTATCCTGTTTCTCATTTCTTATTTAGGCAACATCACGTACAATTTTGGAAATCATAAAGTTACATATAAACATATATAAAAACATTATTTTAACAACTTTTACTTGTAAAATGCATTATAGATATCAAAAAATATATTATATAACAAAACAATTTTCAATATTTAATACAAAACAATTTTCAATATTTAATTTAAATTATTTGAGAGAGCACTAGTTGCAAAAAATAATTATATTTTTTTCCCAATAACAAAGAAAAGAAAAAGGGCAATAGAAACGGTTATTAAACCGATTTCTGTTTCTATTTCAAAAAAAAAAAAAATTAAATAAACTATCAAACAAATGAGCTTTTTTCTTGTTCCTAATTATGAAAAACAAAATTAAGGCTCTTAGTTTATCATTTTTTACCTGTAAAATAAGAAGGGGAAACGAAAACTTACCAAAGGGGCCTTAAAAAACTACCTCATTTCATAGAAAATAAAATAGTAATTTCTCAACTCCCCAACTGAATATACAAAGAAAATTTGTGGTTCCTTACCATTGAAATGCAAATATATCTTCAATTGGCACTTCAAACACTTAAAAAAAAAACAGAAATATTGAAGTATTACAAAAAAGTAATAATAAAAATAATAATTCAGAAACAAAGATCAAAATAATTGTCCTAATCAGAAGAGAAGAAAAGGAAGAAATTGAAAAAAGAAAAAGCAAATGAATTTCTTTGGTAAGGGAGAACCTGAATTCCAAGGCTTCAAGTTTTCCACAAGAATTTAAGACTTTGGGTCATCATTTTATAGTGTGTGTGGCTACACTACAAAAGAATAAGGATCTCCCAACTCATCAATTCATATCCGTTAGTAGTGTGTGATTTATCAACTTTCACTTTTATTTGATTCTTCTTTCACACTATCTTAATAGTTAAGAATCACCTTTATAAGTTTATGCAATTCATTAGTGCACTAATTATATTCTTCATGTTTTCAATTTTCATTTTAGTCCTTAAACTTTCAAAATTATAACCATTTTGGTCCACAAGAAAATATTTCGAAATTGGCCCAATAAGGAAACATGTAACGAGCTTGTGGTACTTTTCCTATAATAACCCAATAGCAAATAAATGATYAGTAGTGAAACTAACTCTAACCATTCTCATTGTGCTGTCAACTTTATTGCTCAATCCAATATATTGGTCGCAATTTAGATACTACTTGGTTTTCAATACATGCCTACATCGGAAGGGTGATCCATGTAGTCGAAGACATATTATCCCTTTGTTAAATCATTATAAAATAATGAAAAAAAACCCATAATTATTATTATTTTGGGCTARAAGGAGGTGTGGATATTTAAAACATCAACCTGATAAAGATCAATATTTTAATATTTTAATTAGTTAAGTTATATCAGTCGTCACATAATAATAATTATTTTGTTAAAGTCCAGATACTAAAATTAACATGTTAAAAGTTCAAAATGTCAATATGAAACTTTATGCATTGAAATTAATTTAAGTATTTTTTTTTATTATCTAATAGGTAGTTTACCTGGTAATACGAGTTATTATAAAATTATCCTCGGAAGAAATGTTTGTTAAAGAGTTTAATAAATGATAATAGGAAAAACCATAATTATTATTTCTTAAACTTTAAGAACTGAAATAGAAATTTTTAAAARTTGGAGGATTAAAATGGAATAGTTATCCAATTTTCATCCACCAAGATTTAAGCCTATTTTTAATCTCATATGTAATTTATCTAAGGATGTGAATTTTCAAATGTTTAGAATTGATAAAGTTCTACGTTTTGTTCTTTATATTTTTAAAYGATTCAAAAAATTCGAATAACTAAGACTCATTTGAAAACTATTTCCCTATATTTTTATGTACACATATGTATACACTTATATATAAACACAGCCACACAAATATATATATAACTACTCTTTTTTAAAAAAATATAAAACATCTATTAAATAAAAAGACACATAGTTTATTAAAAACTATATTTTAAAATTATATAAAAAAAATATGTATACATATATGCATATATATATATATGGTAAATTATACTTTCAGTCCAAGAATTGTTACCTTTCATCTATTTGTCTCGCAACTAAATGGTAAGCAAATTAGTAGATGGGTTTTAGAGAGAAAAATAAATAAATAAATAGCACAACAACAATTATATTGTGTTTTCCCGGTTATTGCTCAAAATGAATTTTTRCTTTTATTTACAAAATAATATATTAACAAACTGTATATTTACATTATCCAAAATAAATAAACAAAACGTAAGGTTCAAATTATTGGTCCGGTACTAGATGTAGAACTTCCCCCAGGCAGTTGGATTAATTAAAACATCAGTAATCTCTCTTAAAATATGTGAATTAGTTTGAGATTTAGAAGTCTAACAACTTCTTATTTGTTGATAAAGGAAAAAAAAACTTCTTATCTATTTATTTTTCTTAAGAAAGGTCTAACCACTTATACTTAAAGTTAGCACAAAAACTATTTTTGTTAAAATAAAGGGAAGACCAAAACGAAAAGTTATCATGTTAGTTGCATTTAAATTTAAATCGTCCATAGTACCAACTTCATGAGTGAAATTAATTTAAATCTAAATATATAATTTTAGTTCCTAATGTCTGTGTCATTTGCTATTTTAAAATTTTCAATTTCAATTTTTATGTATTGATTTTTTTAATTAAATTCTTATTGTCACTAAACATTACAAGATGAATAATATATGACTAAGAAATGTATATTTGATATTGATAATTTTGTATGTATACCAATTTGAGTAGAATTTAACTAATAAATATTCTCAATTAAAATATTCGAGGTTCGAATCCCCACGGTTACAAATACATAGAATTTAATTGACATATATTCTCAATTAAAATGTCGGAGGTTCGAATCTCCGCTGTCACACATATATACAAACACACACATATATATTGATCTTAATATAGTAATAAAGTCATTTGGGATCAGAGAATTCGCTATGGGAGTCAAGTTTTATGAACTATGAAATTCATAGGTTATCGATTTTATGGATGTGCATGTCACTTCATCTTTTTGTAATTATTATTATTATAAAGAATAGTATTTCATTTTTGAAATACTAAAAGGAAGGGTCTGAGACATCTTATCAAAGACAATTGTGAAAAGGATCTCCCATTAACATTTAAATCATGAAGACTATAATTAGTGAATGGAGAAACATCTATACCAAGAGAGAAGTAACGTTAATATAGAATTTTTTCTTTTTCCTTTTCTTTCTTTTTTCTCTCTTCTTCTTCTTGAGATCCGTAASATCGAAGATATTCGAACCTCTAACATTTAGATAATATACCATCTATAAATTATATATTGACCCGTATATAATAACTTTGACTATATAAGCATTAACATTTTTGGGTGGTAACGACTTTTTTTTTCTATTAAAAAATAAAAAATTTATAAATCACGAAGTTTAATTTTAGGGAGAAAATTGAAAACTGGCCCAAACATTGTCTTAATTGTGTAAATGTGATTTTCACAAACTGTTTGTTTAAAGTTGGATTTTTGTGGAGGAATTCAATCTTTCCGAGTCAAGTCAAGATATCTCTATTCAGAAAAAGACCTTTGGACCATTAAAAAAAAATTGTTTTAACTTTTTTATAAAGATATTCTGAAAAGTAAGACTAGGTGAATTTTGTAGAAAAAACAAAGCATATATCCTTAAAGAACAAAACAAAAACAGARCATATATTATGTACCCACCTACATAAAATTGCCAAAGGTTGTTTCAATAATAGAAAATTAGAACGAATATTATTAATAAATATACGTATATTTAAAAAGAATACAAACTCTATTTATAAAAACAAAAAAACAAAAAAGCTTGTTTAACAACCTTCTTYTTCTTTTTCTTTTTTCTTTTCTTTTCTTTTTTTATTTTTTTGATCTAAAATTCACTTTTTAAAAATATGTTCCAAAGTATAAACCATATTTATTATTAATAAATTATCGTACAAAAATTTAGTTATTTTAGCTACAAAAACTTTTTCTCTTTTTTATTTTATTTTACTTTTTTATTCTGTTTTTGAGTTCAAGAAGTCCAAATACACGTAGATGGGTGAGCSATGAAACAGTCGATAACCTTGAATTTTGTTTAGTTAGAAAGGTTTTATCTCACCAAGTCTAAACATGTTATAGATGCTATGAGGAAGGTTTTTTAAATCTGTTTGAAAATTTGATTTTGTTAGACGCGAAATGTACATAGTTCATTTGAAGTGATGCCAAAGAAGTGATGTGAGCCGAACCATTTGGGGCATGTCGATAGTGTAATTGATAAGACTTGATTAAAGGCTAAAAAGAGTAGTTTTCATGCTTGGTTGGGAGTTAATTATGATGGAAAATGTATGTTAATGCATATAACTCATGGAAAATGTGCATATTTCGTTATTAAGGACTTAGACAAGTAGTTAGAAGCAAATAGAGGCTAATTGATGAAAATTTGTTTATTTTGTAAGGCAAATTGGAAATTGATAATTGTAATGGGTCAGACACATTGCATGCCCAGAATTTCCAGCTTATTAGAAGGATGCGCCAGCCAATTGCTTTGAAAGTTCCAGCTTCACAATACTTCAACCACATTCGATGCCTAGATTGTCAAAACGGGAATAACAACTTTTGGCCAAGTAATTGGTCCAAGATTTGTTATTAGTTCCTAAAATCTCTACAACCTCATTTGGTTCCAACYTCCCATGCATTTCTCAATATCTTGTTACCTCCATGGTCTATAAAAGGAGCTCCCAAGCATCACTTCAAGGTATCTGATTTCCATGCTTTGCTTTTTCTTTCWAAATTCTTGTCAACATTAGCTTTTAAGTTTTAATTCCAGCTTTAARTTTTGTTCTTCCTTTATTGTTTTTACAATTATTCTTTCTTTATTTTATTTCAATTCTATTTGTTCTAGTTTGTACTTTCCTTTCCATTTCAATGAAAATGYATCACTYTGTTACMTTCTCTTGTTTTGTCATTTATTTTACTTCCATGAGTAGCTAAATTGTTTCTTCAACCCTCATACGAATACTTTAGTTCTTATCACTATAAATTACATCTATCAGTGAGCACGGCGTATTACGATCTCTTTGCTTATCTTGATTGATACAATTTATCCAGTTGATTTTCTTGTTGGCCACTTGTTTAAATCACACTAGTTTGAATTTAATTCTGAGAAGGTTAGAGTCAAACGGATCTCATCAAGGTAAAACGGAAAGTTACTTAGAAATAAGAACTAAAACAAGATCCTAGACATAGGCTCTCTTACCCGTTAAATGTAAGTTGGCATTTAATTCATTTAGGATTCTAGAGTTGCATAGACATATCTAAACACTAGCCTAAACGTCTAAACAAACCAAAAGCGGTATGGAATAGGAGTTGAAMCAGTTTGCATAAATTAAGCGTAATTATGGGCACATTTGGTAGGTGTAATTCATCATTTTAGAACTAAACAAAAGTAGGGGGTTGGCCTTTTAAATTCTATTATTTTCGTGTCTTTTTCGTGTTCAACCAATCTCACCAATTTTTATGACAAACTTGATTGCTCATTCCARCAGTTTTCAAATTCAATTTTAAAAGAAAAACTAGTCCTTGYGGAGACGAACTTGGAATATTTCCAAATTATTACTAGTGACAGTGTGCAATTGCACTTATCCTCTAGCTATTAAGTTGAGGCACAACAGTAATGAAAAGAAAGATAACAACAAAG